CCAGCCTATAAGACTTGCAATACAGTATTTGACAATTTGATCTCCCTTGTCTATTACCGACTGTAAAACCTTCACTATAGCCTATCATTTGACCTTTTCCATACATCTGGCACCATTCACTGTTTCTGGGGGAGTATTTATCTTTTGCTTTCAAGGCTTTTTAAAACAGTTTCACAAAAAGGTACTACAAGAGTCTTCCCATTACTTAAAATAGGAATCTGAAACTAATAAGTGAAAAAGGAAAGCTTGAAAAAAATACATCAAATTACGTAAGGGGAACACAAATATCAGAAGAATAAAAATGAATTAATATCATAAACAAGAAAACAGTGAATGGGCACACTTCAACATCATGACTTTCTCACCCAACAGTAAAATTCTGAACACAAATGCTGCATCTAAACATCGTGTGGCTATACAGTTCACTTGAGTCTTTATGACTAGATATTCATTAATATTACAACCCTTCATAACACTGTTGAGAAAAAGTTTAAATATTTCAAGGTCTTACATAAGATAATGGTGTAATATATTGTATTACACTACAATATATGCTATGATGAAACTTACTATATTTGCATGTAAAGTGTAGACACAATTACACAATGTGCCACAGAAAACTACTTCTGAGTTTAAACAACATAACAATCAAGAAATACTCCTATACACAGAGAAAGTTATACAATAATAAATCTTAACTTGGTATCCATGTTATGATTCCCTTCCTTACGTGCTGCATCTGTTAAGTTTGCACAAAATGCTTCAATCAACCTGAAGTCATGCCCATATCACAAGTCTCATTTCCCCCCTCATCACCTTCCCAAAACAGCTTAGCTCTAACTGCCTTTCGTGTAAGGCCGAAAAACTTCTGGGGCTTCAATTTCCGGTTTGTTGCCTTGAATTTCCATCCTATGTGACTGTGACAGCTTGAGCAATTGGCAATGGTCCACGCATACCTAGAATTATAGTGAAAATATATAAAATGGTCAACTGTCAAACACAAATACAGTCTTTTGTTTGATATTAAAGTCAACACATTTCAAATCATGCAGATTCCCCTAAAAAGCATGTAACTGACAACAGGAAAGCTTGGAAAAAAATACATCACATTACGTAAGGGGAACACAAATATCAGAAGAATAAAAATGAATTAATATCATAAACAAGAAAACAGTGAATGGGCACATTTCAACATCATGACTTTCTCACCCAACAGTAAAATTCTGAACACAAATGCTGCATCTAAACATTGTGTGGCTATACAGTTCACTTGAGTCTTTATGACTAGATATTCATTAATATTACAACCCTTCATAACACTGTTGAGAAAAAGTTTAAATATTTCAAGGTCTTACATAAGATAATGGTGTAATATATTGTATTACACTACAATATATGCTATGATGAAACTTACTATATTTGCATGTAAAGTGTAGACACAATTACACAATGTGCCACAGAAAACTACTTCTGAGTTTAAACAACATAACAATCAAGAAATACTCCTATACACAGAGAAAGTTATACAATAATAAATCTTAACTTGGTATCCATGTTATGATTCCCTTCCTTACGTGCTGCATCTGTTAAGTTTGCACAAAATGCTTCAATCAACCTGAAGTCATGCCCATATCACAAGTCTCATTTCCCCCCTCATCACCTTCCCAAAACAGCTTAGCTCTAACTGCCTTTCGTGTAAGGCCGAAAAACTTCTGGGGCTTCAATTTCCGGTTTGTTGCCTTGAATTTCCATCCTATGTGACTGTGACAGCTTGAGCAATTGGCAATGGTCCACGCATACCTAGAATTATAGTGAAAATATATAAAATGGTCAACTGTCAAACACAAATACAGTCTTTTGTTTGATATTAAAGTCAACACATTTCAAATCATGCAGATTCCCCTAAAAAGCATGTAACTGACAACAGGAAAGCTTGGAAAAGATTTATAATGCTCTGTCCTTAGAGCTTGTTTCACTATTTGGTATAATACCAAACACCTATGGTAGATGTGTCCAGATCAATTCATAGCATAATTAGCAATGTAAAGCATAATAGTCTCAACTATTTTTTTACTATCTGCTATGAGTCTCTGGCTATATTAGTCTAATCAGGAAGAAACATGAATCCCTAAAACTATGTGTCATATTACAAAGAAATAGATCTTAGCATTTACAATGTCTCATGATAGTTTTAAAAATGTTATTATCTAGTGCCAAAGCATTTATCCTTAGTCTCAAATGAGTACTTATCTATCAAAATACTGTTACAAATATATCACAGTTTAGCAAAAAATCAATAAACATTTTCAATATAAATATCAAAATTTACTTATACTGATATTAAAACTTCATTATGATGCTCCTATACATTTTCATGAAAAAGATAGTAGTGGGTTTGGCCAAAGAACAGTTCAGCTCTGGCTCTTCCAATTCTCAAGATATTATAATTCATGATTTGAGTCTGGTTCCACATTTGAATAAGGCCAGCAGAACCTCGGCTTTAGCATGCACACCCTTAAAGAATTCTTTACACAAAACAAATACAAGGTGTATGCCTGCACAATGGCTGAGGAGTTAAGTAACAGAATTACTAGTATGCCACAAATTTTATGGAAACCTATGGTTCACCACTACTTTTCATAAGGATAAATTTATGAGTGGATACTTGAATTTCCTGCAAGTCCTGGATTAATTTACTCAAAGCCTCTGATGATACTCACTCTGGCACAAAATCATTTAACTTTTATAGTGTAACTCCATCAATTTAAAGAGAAGTGCATAAGGTTGGAGGAATGTTATTAAATGATTATTATGTAACTTTGTTGGTCTGGCAAAAGGATCCAAGTGCTGTCCTATTATCAGAATTGCTGGAAAATCAGTGTTATTACTGAAAACTCAATATCACTTGAAGTTCTTAACCCCTTGGTGCCGGGTATGACGTGTACGTACGTGCTATGCCCACAGTGAGTACTTGTTTGATTGTTTTTACGCATAGATGGCAACACTTGTACTAAATCACCATTGAGCCAGTTACGAGCACCGCCCGTCTCGCCCGTTTACCCGTTTCTTTGATTTACAAAATATTTTACGTAATTTTATTTTGCTGTTACTAATGTTAAAAAAAAATTATAAAAATTATATTGTTTATGTTAAAAATAACACCATCGATTTTCATAGCACTAGTGAAAAATACGTTTTTCCCGCCATTAAAATCAGGCGCCAGCAGAGCCGTCTATCGGCAGACATTTCACGAAAAACATAGAAAGTGGGCTCAATATTTTCCCCATTTTTTGTTCATTTTCCCCGGCACCATTGGGTTAATAAAAGGAGAGATCGTTTTTTTTTTCTTCTGTAGTATCAACTATTTTCCATGTTAGTAACCTGACAACCTACCCTTGTACTTTATTTCAAACTCTAAGGATGCTGCAAAGTGCTTTAAAGGAAATTTCTGAAAGGTAAGTTGTTCCAGAAACTGATCACCCACATATATGGCTCCCACTTGACAAATAATTAAGAGGGTATGAATTTTGCATTCATGGAAAAGCAACGACAGTAAACACTTACCCTGGAAACCATGAGTGCTGTATGGATGGTCGCCCATTGTAAGTGAGATTAGTGGCCTTGGTAAGAGTTAACATTTCGTGAACATAACCTCCAGGATTTACGAAAGTTCCCTGAGGTCCCTCCACAGACATAGAGAATATATCTGCTGTATCACCAATCACTTCATTGCAGCGGACACAAATCAACATTTTACACTGAAAGATTAAATCAGTGAAATGTTAGCAAGAACTTCATTCATTAAATGAATTTCACTTCAATTACATGAATCTTACTTCATAAATAGGATTTCACCAAATATTCATATATCATTCATACTAAAACACTGACTTTATATAAACATGGAAGACAGTTATGATTTATCAATTCAGTTTTGAGATACAATATATAATTGAAAGAAATTAGCAACTTGCAGGTGAGAGAGAAACATGTAAACAAAATTACATGTGGAGCAAATTAGTTAACATGATAGAAATCAGGATTATATGGAAATATCTTAACACTCGCCTGAAAAAAAGACCTTTCCCACTCTGGTACAATCAAGAAATACATTTGGCTGAAGGCCAGGCTGACAGGAATGACTTGCCATGAATGCTCTTGGAGGATTGGTAAATGAATGTGGAATATACCATCTGGAAACCATGACTAGAAGATTGCCAGCTTCTGGGAGAGCACTATTTCCATACTCAGGATCACATTCCTGAATATGACTAAGATGATGATGATTAAAAAAAAAAAAAGTACACATATGTTCTTGTGGAGTGGGCTCACACGCCAGATATCTGGGAGGTCACCACTCAAGCAAGCCAGATGCCCAGATTTTGGGCTATGTGCAGGCTGCAAGGTAGTCACTGAGTAGAAATAGCCCCTCAAAAGTAAGCTTAAAGACTTTCTTAGTCTCATTCCCTAAACAATTGTTTATGCCACAGCCAAGAGCATAGAGAGTGAGTTTTTTTTTGTTTTTGTTTTTGTTTCTTGTGTTTCTGATTCATACACTTAATCCCCTGAATCCAGGTGACATGATCAACATGTCAAGCAGCGGACTCTGCTTATGCTCTGACACATGGTCCAGTATGGTGTCACCTGTCATGAATGGGTTCATTATATCTAATACAAAGCAGTAAATTGGATAAAATGATAGTACCTTACTGATAACAGACAGTATGTATCTTAAACGTTGTGTTGGTGTGTTAAGACCAAGAAGGGTGAGTCTGTGGGAATCATCAAGAGGGAGGTTGATGGCTGCCCAGTGAGACAACTCCTGAGGGTCTCGGGGTAACTGCAAGGAATAAGCATAACACATTGTGTAAGGATCAAAATTTAAGTAATAACTTTGACACTCTAAGCTTCTTACTACAAGTTGATAACATGTTGGCCTCAGAATTTATAAATAATTGGAAAAGAACAAAAAAAGTTAAGGGAAACCTCAGACTTCATAAGAAATAAACATGACTTTCACTGCAACTCCCTGAAACTGGTGGGCCAGATCAAAGAAGGCAGTCATCTATGGTTGAGCCAGCATCTGATGTGCCCAATGACATAATGCCAATGGTGATTTTATAGTTAAGAGAACAAAAAAGTATACTTTACATAAAAAATATTAAAGTTATTATCTCCTTTCTTTGTCTGCAAAATGCAACAAATACAATGAAAATGTTACAAAAAATTATTTATACTGAATATTTTGATACCCAATCTTCCCAGCACATGTGAAAAACTTTCTTATGCCAACTCATATCTATTTTTGAAATTGTTTCAAGAAATCTGTAAGTTTTAGCAACACACACTTTTATGCTTCATTATAAGAAAAAATAGAATTCATAGGGCTAACAAGTATTTTATATTACATACAATATAGTATTAGCAAACCTCAGGGCAGTTATCATTCATTTCAGCACTATGTATAATGAAGCTTCTTTTAAAACTCTAAAATCAGTGGGCAAATGACATCAAAATAGCTTATTCTCATTTATTCTACAAATTGGTTATGGGAAAAGTCTGAACAGTTCAACAAACACTTATCAACACATATGACCAAAAAATATAACTCAACTATTTCTTGCTCCACTGAGCATAAACTAACAAGGACTTACTTTCAGCAAGTTAGGTTGTATCATGGTGGTCTTCTTTATTTCATTGACAAGTCTTTGGGCAAGCAAGAGGTCATCATACTGATTATAAACCCAGGATGGCCAAGGTGTCAACCATGCATTTCTTCCCCTTACAAGCCAGCTGTTTGCTGTCCTCACAGTTACTAGAAAAAGAAGAAGAAGAAGAAAAAAAGTTAATTAATCAATCTTCTCTTCTAAATGTTATCATCAAATTTCTAAACAAACAATTCTCTGCTTTACTAATGTGGTTCCCTCCACTGTAGGTGAATTTACAAACAACATCTCTCACTGTAAACCTTACCTAAGTCACGAGAATGTGCAACATAGGGCTTGTCTTCTTGTGGGCGAGGTAGTGTAAGTTTGTCTAGAGACCGAAGACGCACCATCTCAAAAGGGCACTCCATTCGGATCTCTGGTAAGATCTTTACTCTTGCAACAATTAATCTTGCAATGAGAGAAGCAAAAGAATACAGATTCAAAATGTAGTACTTACTGCCTCAGTTAATACAAGCAACAGTTAAATAAAAATTACCATTTTCATATCAATTTTTTCTCTTGCTCTCTAATCCTATATTTCTTAGTGAGTGAAGGAAGGAGAGAAGAGAGAGATAAGATTCCAACCTGTACTTACCCACTTGTCTCTTGTCTCGTAGACATAACCCTGAACCTCTGCCTCCCTTTTGCCTTGATGGTCAGGGCTCCAGTAAGCTCCTCTTCTTGGTACTCATATATCTCAGCTGTGGTGCCATAGCGTGCCATCTCAGAGTTTCCATCTTGGTTCAGTCTAAAAAGGAACAGAAAGTGGTTCCTGTACACATACACACAGATTTAAATGCATTTGTACATACATACATAAATACACACACAATCACATACACATACACAAATATACAACCACACACACATATACAGAAAGACAGACAGACAGACAGATGACAGACAGACAGACAGACAGACAGACAGACAGACAGACAGACAGACAGACAGACAGACAGACAGACAGACAGACAGACAGACAGACAGACAGACAGACAGACAGACAGACAGACAGACAGACAGACAGACAGACAGACAGACAGACAGACAGACAGACAGACAGACAGACAGACAGACAGACAGACAGACAGACAGACAGACAGACAGACAGACAGACAGACAGACAGACAGACAGACAGACAGACAGACAGACAGACAGACAGACAGACAGACAGACAGACAGACAGACAGACAGACAGACAGACAGACAGACAGACAGACAGACAGACAGACAGACAGACAGACAGACAGACAGACAGACAGACAGACAGACAGACAGACAGACAGACAGACAGACAGACAGACAGACAGACAGACAGACAGACAGACAGACAGACAGACAGACAGACAGACAGACAGACAGACAGACAGACAGACAGACAGACAGACAGACAGACAGACAGACAGACAGACAGACAGACAGACAGACAGACAGACAGACAGACAGACAGACAGACAGACAGACAGACAGACAGACAGACAGACAGACAGACAGACAGACAGACAGACAGACAGACAGACAGACAGACAGACAGACAGACAGACAGACAGACAGACAGACAGACAGACAGACAGACAGACAGACAGACAGACAGACAGACAGACAGACAGACAGACAGACAGACAGACAGACAGACAGACAGACAGACAGACAGACAGACAGACAGACAGACAGACAGACAGACAGACAGACAGACAGACAGACAGACAGACAGACAGACAGACAGACAGACAGACAGACAGACAGACAGACAGACAGACAGACAGACAGACAGACAGACAGACAGACAGACAGACAGACAGACAGACAGACAGACAGACAGACAGACAGACAGACAGACAGACAGACAGACAGACAGACAGACAGACAGACAGACATACAGACAGACAGACAGACAACACACACACACACACACACACACACACACACACACACACACACACACACACACACACACACACACACACACACACACACACACACACACACATCTGTATCTCAAAGTTATGGTAAACAGCACTGTGTAAAATATGAAAGAATTGAATATGAATCCTAAATCTTAAACCTAACCCACTGCTGATAGGTGGACTGTATATACATGCATGTGTGAGCTAAACAGCTGGTTGCTTGTTTGGCCACAACTACAATGATATAAAACCTATAGTGCTTGGTGAGTGGTCCAGTTTGGCACATGAAGCTCCTGTAGGTACTGGGTTAAGCATAAGAATACAGGAAATATATATATATATATATATAAAAAAAAGGAAATGAAGAAAAAGAACATGAATACACTTTACTTGGTGTGAACAATGCCAAAAGTGCGGTCCTTGGCAATGACGTTTCGCAACATGGACACATGTAGGGGATGGAAGATGGTCATGGGAAGAGTCTGTGTGGGTATGAGCACAAGGTTCATGAGGGAGTTGTGCAGTAGCAGAGGTATTGTCACGTAGTCATTTTCATCTTGGACTGTGCGGCCCCTGAGTTCCTGGGTTTCACCGAGGTACTGAAAAATGCAAGTGAGACTGTATCCACTACACTTCATAAAACCTCTGGCTGGTGTGTGCTTTATTTACTCATTAACAATAAATATAAAATCTGCATAAGCTATGTGACTACTCATCATTATATATCATTTGTGCACAATAGGATACAAATAAAATACTAGTAATAAAGAATTTCACTCAGCTATGACAGACTGCTCTGAACAGTATCCAGAAATAGAAAATTCAGATTTCAAAAAAAGAAGAGAAGAATGAAAGTGATTAAGACAAACTGCCAATACTAACAACATGTCTGGAAGGGAGTGTTGCATCGAACTGTTCTCCATTGTCCTCTCCACCACTGCCATTGCCCCCATCGGATTCCTCACAACTCTCATACTGTGCCCAACTGTCTTCATCTGAAACTAACACTCCGTGCTGTACTAAATATTTTTTGAGCCTTATACTTAAAAAAAATAATAAATAAATATAAGTCATCTATAAAACATACACACATAATTCTCTGCCCAAAATAAATGTAAATATGCTGAGTATCTTAGTATACAGTCATCTAAAAATCTGTATCATAAACCCATTTGTGACGTGTGATTTACATCATTCAAAACTGCCAGAACAGAATGACCAGAAAATCTATGATCAGTTGAACCTATGGTCATATTAATGAAGAGACAACAAAAGTTCCTTACACAGTACTGGCCCCATGCAGTCTTCATATCTTCTTACCTTGGTATACTTACTTGACTCCAAATCATACAACTTTCATAGACACTAATGTAAAGACCTACCACAAAAAAATGTGATGGGGGAAAAACTCACAATATAAAAAAAAAAAACTTACATACCAGGATCACATAAAAAGGAAACATTACAAAAGTAAAAAACAGGAAAAAAAACATCATATTTCCTTCTATAAGGTATAAAGTATATCAGTGACACTTGGAATGGCATAGCTATCAAAACACCTATATAAAATTTATACAAAATGTGTCTCCAATCTGTGGCTTTTTCATGACATATTTATACATTTATGGGAAAGTTTGCCTCAGGGTTGGTATGAAAAATATGTCAGAGGCCTATCTATATTTTTTCATATGCTATAGAAGATACAAATGAAAGAAAATAGATGGACAGTAACTGCACACCTAAGCATCTATCAGGATAGATAAACTTGGTATTATGAAAAAGGATACATAAAGAAATGTTATATGTACATATTTCCAAAAAGACAGCATAAGGAATAGGCTGATTTTGTTAAACACTACTGTTTTTACACTAGACTAATTAAATGATTTCAAGTGAGTGTACACCTAACGTGTGTGCATGATACCATTATGCAAACATCACTTTTTCTCTCTGTGAAAAGTAACAGATTTTCAATACTAGCCTCAGGGATGGCGAGCATTGTGTTAACCTCTGCAAAATGTCAAAACACCTACAACATGTATATTCAAAGAAAGATAGAATTGGCAACTTATTGTCAAATAAAAAAGTCTAATTTTGATCTTAATTTTGTAATCCTTGACAGCTGTAAGGGTGGAAGCCACAGTGATCACTTGATAGTGTGCTATTGTTATGAAGTAATGTTATAGGAATAAAAATCACACATTTAATGTACACTTGGTAACTACAAATAGCACATTGTCATTCAACTGCCCTGGCCTCCATGCCTCTTAGAGTGCTCCAATAAAAGCCAACAAACCTAAACCACATGTTTCTAGGTAAGACAGAGCTTGTACACCTCCCAGATAATTTGCATCAAAACAGAAATCTGTCTAAACACTATACTGCAAGAACAAGTTAGAGAGAGTCTGAGCACCATTGATGCATCAGCAGTTACTGGCTGATCTTTTGTTAGTTGTCATGGAAGCTCAATACAATGTTTCTATTTACTACAGAGAGCAGTCTCTAGGAATCACATATGGGCCTCTGGTATATGGAGGTAATAGACTGATACATAAATTTCTGTGAAAGGTTCAAATCTTAAATTCCATTCAAATTTGTTATCAATGGACTCCATTCAATGTCTACTAACCAAAAATAGCAGTAACAGCCTGTGGAATCAATAAATGAACATAAAATCAACTTCTGAAAACGCCTTTAACAAGATGAGTCCTTTGCGATATAATACACGCATGGACTAAAATCCGTGCATTATGCTTCCTTGAGTGATGATACACCCTGCAATCACTTATGCATTGCTATTTCTGCTGTTCTGCCATTTTCCTACGTATATATCTCATTTGCTATGCTATATCTAGACCACTTTCACTGAGCAGACTCAACATAATCTCTCCAGGTTATGAAGAAGAAGAAGAAGAAGAAGAAGAAGAAGAAGAAGAAGAAGAAGAAAAAGAAAGAGAGAAAGAAAGAAAGAAAGAAAGAAAAAGGGACAATAAGCAACATTATGTTATCTCTTATATTTTCATGTTAGGTGATTTTCCATGACGCACACTACACCTCTGGTAACACCAAGTAAGAATAGGTTCCTGAGGCATGGACATAATGTCCTCCTTAGTGACGACCCTCTCCCATGCAAGGGTGCAGGATAGTAAACTTCACCCTCATGGACCATTGGAAATCCTGTAGCTAGCAGCTCGTGATTCGAACAATGTGCACTTTGGTATCCAATATGAAATATCATATTTAGTTGATAAAAGTCAAAATGTAGTAAAAAATGGCATTAGATTTGTGTTAGACAAGTGACATTCATTGATATATATTAAAATTTTATTGTGTAAGGTTTTATCATAACGATTGAGGGGGGGGATGTTAGATATGTATGGATTACAACAAATATAAAAACAATATTAGTTAAAGGGTATTTAGATAACTTACTGGGGGTACACACTGCTACCTATGGCCTTTCCAAGAAGCTCACTCCATTCAAGTCTATAAGCTTATCATACTAACGAATGTACATAGTGTGGCCATCTTAGTTAGTATTGCCTCCTGCCACTCCCTGAGGATAGGCCTTCTTGGGTCTAGTATTACTGCTATTGTTGACTAGCACCAACTAAAACCACTATAAATTGCACACTAGACATTATCAAGAACCCTTAAGATATTTGTTACCGAGAAAGATTCATTCTCCAGAGACAGGTCCCGAGACCAGGGTATCATGTGAACCTAAGTCCAAAACTTTACCTATACCCAAACCTAAGCCTTCCTACCTTCTATTCATTCCCTAGACAAGAAGCCCCTCTTTACCCCTCCTTTATTAACACTTTGAGCCAACTTACGAAAAACGCAACACTGAGAACTCTGGCTGTGTGAGGGTGTTGTGGACTTAGTCTGAATGGTGAAATGTAGCAGATATTTTTGTCATTTCGTGGTATGTATGAGGTGAGACCAACTGTTCTGGTGTTGTTTATGACACTAATTCTTATGCTCCATAAGATGGCAGTGTCCATCTCCCTCTATCTCTGTGCGTTGCTCTCAGTAACATTACCCATCCTCAGATATATAACTAAAATCACTTTTCGTGTGATCCAGGCATGTTTGAATTATAGGCACTGATACTGAAGATGCATCCTGGGGATTTTTGTCCAACAGAGAACCAATGGTAAAATTTTATAGCCAAACAACAGTAACAAGTGTGTAATATGACACCAAAAGACAACTGTGTCGAGTGGATTGGAAGATAAACAAAAGCTGCAAAACAAAGAAAACCCTTCGCTTACTTTCCTCAATTTCCACCTCCTCCATCAGGACCAACTCCTGCGGCAGCTCCTCTTCGTCCATCACGAGCAAGGGCGGCGCCCCTTGGCCCTGAGGAGGGAGTCCCTGGCCACCTCGGGCCACGTCCTCCTCGATGGCCTCGACCTCCTGCTCGCGGCCGCCTCCTCCTGCGCCGCCTTCAGCTCCCCCTCGACCAATGTCACCCTCCACCTCCTCCTCCATATTTTCCGCACGATCTTCCTGCCCATGTCCGTCATCCCTGTCAGCCATGGGTCTATTTCACTGGACCGAACTCGCCTAAATCCAAAATGTCGAAGTTTCTTGCCCCCGACTGTGGCGAAGGTTTATTGCGGGTCGCTTGCGGTCCGGACGCGTCGGGGC